TACAATTTAATTGGAAACCAGGGACGCCCATTCATTATGTACTACTTGAAGCTGCTTTTTGTGCTACAATGTCAGAGTTGAGTAGTTACAAAAGAGGCTGTACACATTTCTGTCTAAAATAATTACTGCTGCCTTTAACAGGAAAAGTCTAAAATAATTATTATGTTGCCTTTTATAGAAAAAGTTTCATGACCTTGGCTTATAGTTTTTACCACAATTTCATTTCTACCAAGGTTAGGTGTACATGGTACAAGGTAGTCTTCCTCAGTAGACTACCAGTATTACTTTTTTTTTTTTGAGACAGAGTCTTACTCTGTTGCTCAGGCTAGAGTGCAGTGGTGAAATCTTGGCTCACTTCAACCTCCGCCTCCTGGGTTCAAGGGCTTCTCCTGCCTCAGCCTCCTGAATAGTTGGGGTTACAGACACAACCATGCCTGGCTAATTTTTGTATTTTTAGTAGAGACAGGGTTTCAACATGTTGGTCAGGTTGGTCTCAAACTCCTGACCTCATGATCTGCCCACCTCAGCCTCCCAAGTGCTGGGATTACAGGTGTGAGCCACCGTGCCCAGCCCATTATTACTTCTTTCTTATATTTAGAGTGTCTAACCCACCCTAGCAGTGTCATGAAAACCTGAATTTGAATTTTGGCATTTCTGAGGCAGAAGGAAAAGACAATTCTTTGGTCTAGAAAGGTGTTAGCCTGTCAGAAATGTGGAAGGGCAAATACCTTTCTAAGGCAACTCAGTTTAGTCTTGGGTTGAGGCTTTAAGTACTGCTGAATGGACAGTATAACGAGTTAATGCAGGGCAGCTGAAACCCAAAAGCTAGAGTAAGGCCAGGAAAACTGGGCAGAGCTTGCAGTGACTGTTTACCTAGTTATGATTCAAAGACAAAAAGCTCAGTTACCCAGGCTCCTACTTGGGGCTTGTGTTCCAAAGGAGCTTCAGAGGCCACTTTGAGTCCTTGCAGCTCTTCGTAGGGCAGGGTATCTTTCTCAGATTCTGAAAATGCAGCACTGAGGGGAGATGGGCTGTCAGGCATGGGGATAAATTCTGCATTTTCCAGCTCCTACATATATGAGAAAGAATCTCATTAGTATCTCATTATTCTATTTGCAGCATTTGCTTTCTCCCAAATTCCCTTCTCTGTTTTGCTATAGCTTTCCCTGTCATGACATCAGCACCCTCTAGTGGGCAGGACAGTTGTGATTAACAACATATCTCAGCCTACCTGTGAGCAAACTGCCACCCCCTCATTGGAGGAAGAAGAGTGATGCAGAAGTAAACTCAAAGAACACAGGCCGGAGTGTCTGGTGTGTCTCCCCGACACACTTTTTCTACACTGGCTATTCAGTGAGCTGGGAAGCTCCAAGGATATGGCAGTGAGGCTAGCTGCCGCACTTCTGAAAGCTGAGGCTAAAGGTGCAGACAGAACAGTGTATTGCTTCCTGTTCATACTCTTCAAATCATTATCAAGTTAAGTCTTACGAGACAAGGAGCTTTAAATCTAGTTTTGTTTTGTTTTTTAAATAGGGTCTTGCTCTGTTGCCCAGGCTGAAGTGCACAACCATGGTTCATTGCAGCCTTGACCTTTGGGACTCAAATGATCCTTCCACATCAGCCTCCTGAGCATCTAGGACCACAAGCATGTGTCACCATGCTTGGTTAATTATTAGTTTTTTTGAAACAGAGTCTCACTCTGTCCCCCAGGCTGGTGTGCAGTGGCACGATCTTGACTCACTGCAACCTCTGCTTCCCAAATTCAGGTGGTCCTCTTACCTCAGCCTCCCAAGTAGCTGAGATTACAAGTGTGCACCACCACGCCTGGCTAACTTTTTTGTATTTTTAGTAGAGACAGAATTTTACGATGTTGGCTGGACTGGTCTCAAACTCCTGACTTCAAGTGATCTGCCTGCCTTGGCCTCCCGAAGTGTTGAGATTACAGGCATGAGCCACCTTGCCCAGCCTAACTTATTTATTTAATTTTTGAGATGGAGTCTCACTCTGTCACCCAGGCTGGAATGCAGTGGTGCAATCTCAGCTTACTGCAAACTCCGCTCCCTAAACTCAAGTGATTCTCCTGCTTCAGCCTCCCAGGTAGCTGGGATTATAGGTGTGCATTACCACGCACAGCTAATTTTTGTATTTTTAGTAGAGACAGGGTTTCATCATGATTGGCCAGGCTACTCTCAAACTCCTGACAGGTGATCCACCTGTCTTGGCCTCCCAAAGTGCTGGGATTATAGGTGTGAGCCACCGTGCCCAGCCCCCAGCCTTATTTTTTCAATTTATTTTATAAGGATAGGATCTCCTTATGTTGTTCAGGCTGGTCTCAAACTCCTGGGCTCAAGCAATCCTTTTGCGTTGGCATCCCAAAATTCTGGAATTATGGGTGGGAGCCACTACGCCTGGTCTTTTTAATTTTTTTGTGATAAAAAATTTAAAATTTCACAAACCATAAATATTCACTGTAGAAAATCAGAAAATACAAATGGGCAAAGGAAACTAATAAAAACCACCAGCAATTCCATCACTCACAGATAACCACTTTAAAAATTATCAATACAGAGTCTGTCGACATTCTTCTTTCTAAAAGAATGAGATCATACAGATATTTCATCCTCTTCTGCATAGTCACACGTTATGACTAACTTTCCATGAAAATCAATATACTTCAACTTTACTTTCTTTTTTTTTTGAACAGGGTTTTGCTTTGTCTCCCAGGCTGGATTGCAGTGATGTAATCATGGTAAAGCTTGGCTCACTTCAGCCTCCAACTTCCAGGTTCAAGTGATCATCCTGCCTCAGCCTCCCGAGTAGCTGGGACTACAGGTGCACACTACCATAGCTGGCTAATTTTTAAATTTTTTTTGTACAGACAGTGTCTTGCTGTGTTGCCCAGGCTAGTCTTGAACTCCTGGGCTCAAGTGATCCTCCTGCCTTGGCCTCTGAAAGTGCTGGGATTATAGGCATGAGCCACTGTGACCAGTCCAACGTTTTTACTTTCTGTACCTCAACTTGCATCAACCATTTTCCTATTGTAAGACATTCCAATTGCTCTAATATTCCATTTCTATAAATGACAGTATGAAATCTATAAGCTTAATCTTTACATACATACACTACAAAAACTGCCATCAAGGTAGGTTATAGTACTTATAATACATTCACTTAAGTAACAAGGGTATGAGAACATTTTGTATTCCTTTTTGGAAAGCAAAAAGGATTAGTGATTAGGCAATTTCTTTCCAGGTAAAAATCAGAAAGCTGGATTCAGGATGCAAAATAGTTTACTTTGAAAACTGAGAGACCCTGACAGCTGTTTCTAGCTCCTGCAAAGAGCCAGATACTTTATTTGACTTACTTCTTCCAAAGGAATTACCTTTCGAAGCCAGCCAGGACAGGAGCTGCTGGCCCCATTACTGTTCCCCATGGCCTCTGTGGGACTGATTAAACCTTCCATTCCTCGGTCTGCTTCCATTGTTCCTCGGAAGCCTCCACTTGGGTCAGGAGTTTCAGATTCCTGCTGACTGTCCTCCTCTTCACCACTGCCGCCGCCACCACTGCCCCCGCCGCCTCCTCCTCCCGGGCTAGAGCTCTGAAACACTGACAGATATACAGCACAGAAATAGACAGCTTTGCTGCACAGATTTACCATCTGACAACCCCACTTACCCTGGAAAGGTGCCTAAAGTTGCATGAAGTGCAGTGGCAACAGTACAACTCAAATACTAGGAACTAAATTTTCGATTTTCATGCAAACTAAGTTTTGTAATTTTGTATAGTTGTATTTGTGTATCAGGATGCTTATAACCATAATTCACTTCCATTTAACAATTTTGTTTATCTTATATCCATAGCAGGTTATTAATATTCTAAAAGCATTACCAAACAATCCCCCTAGCCACACAGCCCATCAAATCTAACACCCATGCTTACTCTGCTTCTTTAAGAGATACAGATTCCAGCATTCTCCACAGACATTCAGCATATATAAAAAGGTCTTTAACATTTGAGCCAAGCTCCTCTTAAAGCTGCCAGATAAACTTATCAACTCCCTGTCTGGGGAAAATGTGAATGTTGAATTCTTTTTTTTTCCCCTTTTTATTTTTATTTTGTTTTTTGTTTGAATGTTGAATTCTTTTAATTTTTTGTATAGACTTTTTTTTTTTTTGAGATGGAGTCTCACTCTGTCACCCAAGCTGGAGTGCAGTGGCCCAATCTTGGTTCATTGCAACCTCTGCCTCCCAGGTTCAAGCAATTCTCCTGTCTCAGCCTCCTGAGTAGCTGGGATTACAGGTGCACACTACCATACCTGGCTAATTTTTGTATTTTCAGTAAAGGTGGGGTTTCAACATGTTGGCCAGGCTGGTTTTGAACTCCACACCTCAGGTGATCCACCCACCTTGGCCTCCCAAAGTGCTGGGATTACAGGTATGAGCCACTGCACCTGGCGATTTTTCTTTTTTTGAGACATAGTTTCACTCTCACTCAGGCTAGAGTGCAGTGGTGAGATCTTGGCTCACTGCAACCTCCACCTCCCAGGTTCAAGAGATTCTCGTGCCTCAGACTCCCGAGTAGTTGGGATTACAGGTGTCCACCACCATGCCTGGCTAATTTATGTATTTTTAGTGGAGATGGGGTTTTGCCATGTTGGCCGGGCTGGCCTTGAACTCCTGGCCTCAAGTGATCCACCCGCTTTGGCCTCCCAAAGTGCTGGGATTATAGGTGTGAGCCACTGCGCCTGGCCAATTCTTCAACATTTAATGTGAATGTTACATTCTCTGATGACTATCTGTATGAATTTTTATAATATAATGTCTGGTTCTTTCATATCATACAGCACATTCCAAGCAACCTTAATGAAGACTAGCTGATGTGTGGTCAGGAAATGAAACTGAATTTTAATATGGACCAAAGAAAAATATAATTAAGAAAATTAATTTGTCAAAGTTAAAAAAATTGCCTGTTATTTTCTTTTTTTTCCTTTTACTCCTCAGAGATCCTTGTTCTGACGCCTGGTATTTTTCAAGGATAAATGTAAAGAAGGGTTAATTATCACCTGCTGTGCTGGCCTGGGGACTAACCAGGTCATGCTGAGATCCTAGGGAAGCAGAACTACTGTTACCAAAGTGAGTTCTAAAGCTTACTTTTTTGTTTTAAGTTTTTTTTAAAGATTTAGCTGCATTTTAGGTATACCTGACTATTTTAACATACGTGTAAATTTTCATGCTTAACAATAAACACAGGTCTCTCTGCCACTAGAAGAACTAAAACTGCACTATCCAATATGAGTTACTAGCCATATGTGGCCATTTAAACTTAAAGAGTATTAAAAATTCAGTTCTTCAGTCACACGAGCTACTCTCTTGAGTGCTCAATAGCCACAGGAAGCTGGTAGCTACTCTACTGAACAGCACAGATATGGAACATTTCCATAGTTGCAGAAAGATCTACTGAACACTGCTGAACTAGAGCATTATCTGTATCACTGTATCTGCCTTGTAAACTTCTTCCTTCTCTGGCCTCCTACCCAGATGAAACCATTCTGTTTAATTTTGTATTTATCATTTCTTCTTAAAAACTTTATCACCTTTATGCATCCTTAAACAATACATTACTATTTATTTTACTTTTTTTTTTTTTTTGAGATGGAGTCTCGCTCTGTCACTAGGCTGGAGTGCAGTGGCATGATCTTGGCTCACTGCAATCTCCGCCTCCTGGGTTCAAGCTATTCCCTTGTCTCAGCCTCCCGAGTAGCTGGGACTACAAGCATGCACCACCATGCCCGGCTAATCTTTTTTTGTATTTTAGTAGAGACAGGGTTTCACCATGTTGGCTAGGATGCTCTCGATCTCCTGACCCCCTGATTTACCCGCCTCGGCCTCCCAAAGTAATCACGGGATGACAGGCATGAGCCACCATGCCTGGCCTATTTTACTTGGTTTTAAGTTTTATAAAAAGGCATATAATCTGCTGCAATTTGCTTTTTACATTTCACATTACGGAAATATTTGGAGATGTTCACACACTCCAATGGATGGTTATAACACATTTAATCAACAAATAGTTACTGAGCATTTACCATCTGCCAGGCATTGTTCTAGGCAGGTACATAAAATTAATGAATAAAAAAGGCACAAATCCCTGTCCTTACTTGAGTTTACATCTTCCCACCAATGGACATTTGCTTTTAATATTATGTTTTTCCTTTAAATACTGTTCTAGCAAAACAAAGTTGTTAGAACAGCTGTGCTTAGAAAAAAGATCTTCAGTCAGTTTTGACAGATATTAATATATGTAACAGAGATGCCAAGCAATTGGCTACTTAAGTAAACTATATATAATATGGTATAAGTCAGTGTATATGTGTAAACTGAAGTTCAACAATTCTAGATCATGTTTTCAGCTGTTTCTTTTTCGGGGTTTAATCTGTTTGACTGACTGACTGACTTACTTTATATATTTATTCATTTATTTGAGATAGGGTCTTGCTATGTTGCCCAGGTCAGATTGCAGGGGCTATTCATAGTTATGATCATAGTGCACTGCAGCCTTGAACTCCTGGCCTCAAGTGATCCTCTTGCCTCAGCTTCCTGAGAACCTGGGACTAATGGCTGTGCCACTGTGCCCAGCTTTAATCTGCTTTTATTCAGAGTGTTTATGTATTTTGATTCCACAAAATATCAGAATCTGGGCTGGGCACGGTAGCTTACCCCTGTAATCCCAGCACTTTGGAAGGCTGAGGTGGGTGGATCACTTGAGACCAAGAATTCAAGACCAGCCTTGCCAACATGGTGAAACCCTGTCTCTACTAAAAATACAAAATTAGCTGGGTATAGTGGTACACGCCTGTAATCCCAGCTACTTTGAGGCTGAGGCAGGAGAACTGCTTGAACCCGGGAGGCCGAGGATGCAGTGAGCCAAGATCATGCCATTGCACTCCAGCCTGGACAATAGAGCAAGACTGCGCCTCAAAAATCAATCAATCAATGAATCAGAATCCTGGTTCTGAGACATCAAAGACTACAGGGACTCTAACAGGTAGAAAACCAAAAAGGAAAAATATAATTTCTTGGCATGGTTCCCAATAATAGAGAACCATGAAGACAGCAGTCAAAGGAAATCTATCAGAGAATTTGGGATGATTCTCCTAACCACACTGAAAGTTTAGCTGAGTTTTATTCTGAGTGCCTGTTTTGGTGGACTATTTCTTTAGACTGGAATACCCCTGGGAATGCTGTGGAAGTAGAGGACGCATTACCCACTAGGATAGTAAGGAAAGGAATGATACATAAGTCACATCACGCCAGGCGCGGTGGCTCACGCCTGTAATCCCAGCACTTTGGGAGGCCGAGGCGGGTGGATCACGAGGTCAAGAGATCGAGACCATCCTGGTCAACATGGTGAAACCCCGTTTCTACTGAAAATACAAAAATTAGCTGGGCATGGTAGCACATGCCTGTAATCCCAGCTACTCAGGAGGCTGAGGCAGGAGAATTGCCTGAACCAAGGAGGCGGAGGTTGCGGTGAGCCGAGATTGCGCCATTGCACTCCAGCCTGGGTAACAAGAGTGAAACTCCATCTCAAAAAAAAAAAAAAAAAAAAAGGTCACATTACAGTACTGGGCAAGTTACTTAATTACTTCCATATGCATTGGAGGCAAAGATGACGTACTGTCTCTCCGACCACAATGTAAAGTCATAACTTACTGTAAAATCCACCAAAGTATGATCTCTCTTAATCACTGTATTCCTTACTTCCCAAAGAAATTTCCTATTTTCCTTTGAGTTTTGGAGACTATATGGAATCTAGCCAAAAAAAACCCACAATTCAGAAAACCACTGGTACCTGAAACATTGGTACTTACCAGTTCCAATGGATAAGCCACTGCTATTGGAACGGATGGTCTTAGAATTCAGTACTTTCTCTGAGAAAAAATATTTGGTAGGTAAGCACTGTATATAGATATAGGCAAGACAAGTGAGAGAAGACTGGGATAGGGAGATAATTGCTCTTCCTGACTCCAGATAACTTTAGAATTATTACTTACAGTTTTAGAAATTAATATCATAACCTAAGTACCACTTGCTATTCTAACTATATCCACTATCTACATTAGCAACTGTCTGCCTTGGCTGGTCACTGGAATCACCTGGGAAGCTTTAGAAAGTAACCATGTTTGAGACTAGCCTAGGCAACATGGCAAAACCCCATCTCTACAAAAAATACAAAACTTAGCCAGGTGTGATGGCACAGGCCTGTAGTCCCAGCTCCTTGGGAGGCTGAGGTGAGAGAATCAATTGAGCTTCACAGATGAAAGCTGCAGTGAGCCATGTTTGTGCCACTGCACTCTACTCTGGGTAACAGAGTGAGACTCTGTCTCAAATTTTTAAAAAAGGAAGTAACACTGTGTAGGTCTGTAGATTCGACCCCAGAGATTCTGATTTAATTGGTCAGCAATAGGGTCTGGATAACAGTATTCTTAAAAGCTTCTTGGCCAGGCACGGTAGCTCACGCCTGTAATCCTAGCACTTTAGGAAGCTGAGGCGGGCAGATGATGAGGTCAGGAGTTTGAGACCAGCCAGGCTAATATGGTGAAACCCTATCTCTATTAAAAATACAAAAATTAGCCAGGTATGGTGGTGTGCTCTTGTAGTCCCAGTTACTCGGGAGGCTGAGGCATGAAAATCACTTGAACCCAGGAGACAGAGGTTGCAGTGAGCCGAGATTCCACCACTGTACTCCAACCTGGGTGACAGAGCGGAAGTCCGTCTCAAAAAAAAAAAAGCCTTCTCAGAGGATTCTAATGTATGTGCTGCTAAGGTTGCAAACCACTGACCTAAAAGTAGACTTATAACCCCTTACACAGGCATTTATAAAGTAGTTAATGACAAAGCAATCTTTATGCAGAAAGGACTTACAATTTAAAATTTCTTTTAAAGATTGTACTGAATGTTTCTCATGAAAGCATGAGCATAGACAACAAATTAATTGGTGGATGATTAGAAGTAACAAATTCTAGGGCTGGATACAGTGGCTCATGCCTGTAATCCCAGCACCTTGGGAGGCCAAGGCAGGTGAATCACCTGAGGATAGATGTTTCAGACCAGTCTGGCCAACGTGGTGAAACCCTGTGTCTACTAAAAATACAAAAATTAGTCAGGCATGGTGGTGGTTGCCTGTAGTCTTAGCTACTTGGGAGGCTGAGGCAAGAGAATTGCTTGAACCCAGGAGATGGAGGGTGCAGTGAGCTGAGATCACATCATGGTACTCCAGCCTGGGTGACAAGAGCAAAACTCTGTCTCAAAACAAAGACCAAAACCCCCCCCAAAAAACAAAAAAACCCAATTCTAAGTGGGGAAGCAGAGCCCAAAGTTATATTAAAAAATAATCAGGCTGGGTGTAGTGGCTGGCGCCTGTAATCCTAGTACTTTGGGAGGCTGAGGCAGGCAGACTGCCTGAGATCAGGAGTTCAAGATCAGTCTGGCCAACATGGTAAAACCCCATCTCTACTAAAAATACAAAAAAATTATCTGGGCGTGGTGGTGTGCACCTGTAATCCCAGCTAATTAGGAGGCTGAGGCAAGGGAATCACTTGAAGCAGGGAGCTGGAGGTTGCAGTGAACCAAGATCACGCCACTGCACTGCAGCCTGAGTAACAGAGGGAGACTCCACCTCAAAAAACAAACGAAAAAAAAAACAAAAAAAAAAAACCCAGAGATAGCAGATAGCAAAGTTCCAGGAAATGACAACATTGTATTCCCACCACTGGGCATGGCATCCTTGACCATTATAAGACTTACAGAAATGGCTTCTTTTCTTCAGGACATTTCTGTTTCCAAGAATGTGACCAATAGTACCTTAGACGTGGGTCTATCCTCTGTCAAAGCCATCCCAACCCCACACATATGAAATGCTTACCAACAATGAGAATGGTATGCCAGCCACGGCAAGATAGGTCCGGGACGTGATGCAGAGATCCAAAAATAGGCCGAGGCCATGAGGTACAGATATCAGAGCCATGTGGTCTCTCTGTGGGGGTCATTGCCAGGCGGCCATTACCACCATTGCCCCAGGCAAAAATGTGATTATCTAGGAAAAAAGTTAAACAGCAGACCATTTAACAGAACACTGGCTTCCCAATTCTCTGAGTTCTTCCCCATCTTTACATCCTAGAGCTAGAAAGACTTCCCACTATGTATTAAACAAGGGAAAGCTGTTTATTTTCCTATATAAAGCCTAAACTCTTCCTGATCCCTCTCGTGTAAAATGCCGACTCTTCCTATGTACTGACATCCATTCATTCATTCATCCATTAAGTTACCTTTTTCTTCCACAACTTTTTCTTGGTCATTTATTTAAACACTGACTGAACATCTACTTCATGACAGGCAATGCATGTGGTGATAGAGCAGTGAACAAAACCAAGTCCTTGCCCTTGTGGAACTGAAATTTTAGTAGGGGGAGACTGATAATACATAAATAAATGCCTAATATTTCAGGTGGTGATAAATGCTATTAAGATAAATGGTGAAAAAAATAAGTGGAAACAAAGAATAACAGTGAGGTGGGATATCATTATTTTAGAAAGGGTAAGTCAGAGAAGTTCTTTTTGACAGTTGAACAGAGATCTACTGGAGTGAGGAAGAGTTTCCAGGCAGAGGGAACAGCAACAGCAAAAGTAATGTTAGTAGCACAAACAAGGAACAAGGAGACTCCTGCAGCAGGAACAAAAAAGTAAAGGAAGGGGCAGTGATAGCAGAAGAGGTCAGGAGGTGGCTGGGGTCCTGCTCACATAGGACCATGCAGACCACTTTGATGACTCTGGTACTTACTGATTGATAGAGGAAACCACTGGAGGTTTTAAGGAGTAGGTATTTAAGAGAATCCCTCCATCTACTGAGGAGAACTGATAGCAGGGGAGCAAGGATGGAAGCAGGGAGACCAGCTGTAGTGCAGATGGTGAAAAGTGGCTGGATTTATTCTGAAGATAATCAATATGGATGGGATGTGGGGTGTAGGATGAAGCTGCTATTTACTGAGACAGGAAAGCTGCAGGACGTACAGGTTTGGGCAGAAAATCAGAAGTTTGATTTTGAGTATATGAAGCTTGTCTGAGATGCCTGTAACTTCTCAACCAAATCAGGCTTTTTTTCTTTTAAATGAAAAGGGGGTGCTATTAATTATTAAGCCAGGACAACAGGCATGAAGGCATGAATCAGGATTGGTCTAAGATAACTGGGCTATACAGCTCACCCTATAATTAGACATCATGTTGAGGAGCTGTTGAATAAATGAGTCTGAAGGTCAAGGCTGGTGATATAAAGAAGTCAATTATAGGGGAAATTTAAGAGAATGAGCTCACTTTGGAGAGACGAGTAAGCCTTGGAGCACTCCAGGACTTAGAAGACTAAGCTGCTGCTATTATAGCACCTAGCACCTGCCTGTGCTAGTCCCCTACTCTACTAGACTGTGGGCTTCTTGAAAGCAGGGGTTTTCTGAGACTCATTTCTATATTCCTAGAGCCTAAAAGAGGACCTGGACATGAAGGAGGCCAGCAAGTACAGTTCAGAGAAGTACAGGAACATCAAGAGGTAATATGCGAAGCCACAGAATCCAAATTTACATTCCTCATTCTGAAGTTAAACTCATGAACTACATAGATCTATTCAAGAAATATGAGCTCTCTGAAGTCCTGTCAGAAAGTGCTACTGCATCTGCTGCACTAAATTTATATTCAGTGACATCCTGACTCTGTCCTACATACCGTTTCTATTTATCCAAGTCTGGCCTAAACAATTTGCTCCTTAAAGTCCCTTGTTTTGGGACAAGCAGAGAGAGTTAACATGCTGTTCTGAAAGCTGGTTTACTTAAATATGGTGACTAATCACTTAATTCACAATATCCCTGAGACCCCTCATGAGTACCCAACAGCCACAGGCCGAAAGAAAACCAGGATATCTCAGAGCACAAGCAATAAGAAAAAAGTTGATGAGTCAAAAAATAAGATGAAATGTATTAGCTGGGCATGGTGGCACACGCCTATAATTCCAGCTACTGGGGAGACAAAGGCATTCAAATCACTTGAACCTGGGAGGTGGAAGCTGCACTCCAGCCTGGGCAAAGAGCGAGACTCTGTCTTAAAAAAGAAAAAAAAAAAGAAAATGAAATTTGAGTTGTTACCAGTCAAGTGAAAAAAGTGGCTACAAAAATTTAGAAGTTCAGAAGATGACGCAGGAAAAAGAAAAAAGAGGAAAAAAAGAAAGCAGAAGAGTGAAGAGAATTAAGGGTAGCAATAGCAGCAGTACAGAAGAGGAGTGGCAGGCATGATGGTTCATGCCTGTAATCCCAGCACTTTGGGAGGCCAAGGCAGGTGGATCACCTGAGGTCAGAAGTTTGAGACCAGCCTGGCTAACATGGCAAAACCACATCTATACTAAAAATATAAAAATTAGTCAGGCATGGTGGTGGGTGCCTGTAATCCCAGCTACTTGGGAGGCTGAGGCAGGAGAATCACTTGAACCTGGGAGGCACTGGTTGCAGTGAGCTAAGATCTTTTTGTACTCCAGCCTAGGTAACAAGAGTGAGATTGTGTCAAAAAAAAAGGAGTGAGGAACCAGACAATACTGCAGAAAGAAATAGCCACAGAGGACTGGGTGTGGTGGCTCATGCCTGTAATCCCAGCACTCTGGCAGGCCGAGGCGGGCAGATCACCTGAGGTCAGGCATTCAAGACCAGCCTGGCCAACATGGCAAAACCCGTCTCTACTAAAAATACAAAAATTGGCTGGATGTGGTGGTGCATGCCTGTAATTCCAGCTACCTAGGAGGCTGAGGCATGAAAATCGCTTGAACCTGGGAGGTGGAAGTTGGAGTGAGCCAAGATCATACCTTCACTCTAGCCTGGGCAATAGAACAAGACTCTATCTTAAAAAAAAAAAAAAAAAAAAAAAAAGAAATAGCCACAGAGAAAAGAGAGAAGAAAAATCAATTAGACCAACTCAGAAATCTGAGAGACACACAATGTAGAAAAAACAGCCCTTCAAACCTTAACAGTCCCTACAGATATCACTGCAGTACAGTTGGCCTCAGCCAGCAGAGAAAATATGCTGTTTTCTCCAGCTACACAATCAACGTTTATTGAAACCAAACAACAAAATACTGGGCAAGGTATATATAGAAGTACCTAGTAACTCTTGTAACATTTTACCAAAAAAGTTAAAAGTTGAAATGAAAAAAGGAGGAATGTAGAACATTAACCTATCATTATCTGGAAATCTGGCCTTTAAAAACAATCATTATGTTGAATACATGAAAAGCTAATGAAGCTCAATATATAAAATGGCCACCAATTTAATACAAATAAAAAAGGGCAACCATAATTCAGCTATACAAATAACCAATCCATTTCTTTCCCAGTCAAGAACTGAAACAGAGCCATCCATCCAGAAAGCTTGAAATGATATGTACAGACTCACCATCAGTGGCAGCAATGGTAAACTCATCACCGCAGGAGACTCTGATCACTTGCTTCCCACCTAGGGGTCCCCCCAACAAGTTGATTCCCAGACGCTTCTTATAGTTCCCAACGCCCAGCTGCCCACACTTGTTGCAGCCAAAGGTCAGCAGTCGGCCTCGCTCTGATGGAGAAGCAAAAAGAAATAACCAGTCACAAATGAATACGGGAACCCAGAGAAGATGCAGCCAGACAGACTTCTGTGGACTAGCTTCTGGTTGTTAGAATATACAAATACAAAACTAGCCACATGATCCTGGACCTAGGGCAGCTAAGAGTATCTAGGCACTATAACCAGTTAGATCCAGTCAGTGACTTGATATTGTATTCTCTCTCCAATATTGTATTTTTAGTGAAAAAAACGAGTACTACCTTTGAATACTTATAAAAGGTGCTAACCAGAGACAACAGATGTCTGGAATCATAGGTGTGGTGCTCTCATAAAATGATATATTTATTAGGCATTTATAATGATTATCAATAAAAATATGTACCTGAATACATTAATAATACTAGATGTTCAGGGGAAATTGGGATGACATATAAATGAAGAAAACCTAATACTTGATAGAATAAAAGAGGCTGAGTGCCGGGCGGGGTGGCTCACGCCTATAATCCCAGCATTTTGGGAGGCCGAGGCAGGTGTATCACGAGGTCAAGAGATCGAGACCATCCTGGTCAACAAGGTGAAACCCTGTCTCTACTAAATATACAAAAAATTAGCTGGGCATGGTGGTGCACGCCTGTAGTCCCAGCTACTCAGGAGGCTGAGGCAGGAGAATTGCTTGACCCAGGAGGCGGAGGTTGCGGTGAGCCAAGATCATGCCATTGCACTCTACTCTGGGTAACAACAGCGAAACTCCATCTCAAAAAAAAAAGAGGCTGCGCTACTAAGGCATGTTATATAGTTGTAAATCAACTTACCATCAATAGCAGCTGTGTGAGTCTTGCCTGGGGCAATGGTACGGATTTTATAAAAGGACAACTGTTTGGCCAAGGTAAAGGATGTTGTGTAGGTAACCTCATGGTATGCCTGAAATAAGTAAGATAAACATAAAGCAGATGCATGAGGTAAATGGAAGGGAAATCAAGTTGAGAATGGAAAAAAGTCCTAGTGACCAAAAGTCCCTTCAAGTGAGTCATATTATTAAGAAGAGGGTGCCAGGTAGCCTTCCTTTTCCAACAGAATACCAGAGGACATAAGCTCAATAAGTCATCAGAGAATGCAGCACATGAGGCAGAATTTTCTGACAACCGAAGTTTTAGATTCTGAATTAGGGTTTACAAAACATGAACTTTCCATCCCAGAAGGTATTTATATAAGGATAGAATCACTGACATATACCTTGTATATCTAACAAGGGCAAGGCAAAGAATTAGTCTTGAGGACTCTCTCCAGCCCATAAAGCAATCAGTTTACTGTGATCTAATTTCATCTATAGGGCAGTGTTTCTCAACTTTATTAAAACTCATGTTCCTTTTGAATTAGTATTAAAGAAGAATCCTCTTAATTTTAAAATTTCACAATAAATCCACTGCTATAATGAAAACATAAATCAAGTAATTCTGAATATTTTTTTTCAAACTACAAAGATACTCTCTCTCTTTTTGCCCTGAATTTGTACTCTCCTAATTGAAAATCACTACTTTAGAGACTGCTTAAAAATTCTTACCTTTTCATTGAGTCAGAAAATTTCTGTCTCTTAATTTTATTCTTTGGAAAATGACAAAAACTCACCATATTAACACAAAAAGGAAACTAAGGCAAAACCAGTGGTGAATTTACTAACATTTTTGAAGAGAGAATGGTAATCACATTCAGTAAGCCTATAAAGGATCAGTGATTTGGGAGAAATAAATCTAAAAAACTCCAGGGAGGTGATGCATGGAAATGTGGAGGTTTTTCCCCCCCATAACATTAAATTGTTCCTATTTCAATGACAAGGTAAAAGCTAAATTTCATCATTTTATTCTTTGTAATCAATTTATTTGAGGTACAACACACTGTAAAATATCACACACTTCACATATTTTTCTATATACATTTACTTATAAAACCATTGTAGATAGAGATATAGACCATTCCCATTATCCTGGGATCCCTTCCACCTCTTCTGTTAATAACTCTCCTTCCAGAAGTAGCCACAATTTTGATTTGTCAGTATAAGTTAATTTTGCCTGTTCTTAAATTTCACACAGATAGAGCTATATAGCATGTATTTGTGGGTGGATTCTTTTGCTGCACACAATGCCTGTGAGATCATAACTTTATTCTTAAGTCAAATGCCATGGTCACTAACCAGTAATAGCATCTCAAAGAAATTCCAACTTAGAGAAATTCTGATAATGTGGTTAGAACACCAATCAGGACACTCACTTCATGGTTGATAATTCCTGACATGCACTGATTCAGACCCAGCTTATTGAATTCATTGAGTCCACAGGCCAGCACTTTTCCTGATTGGGTCAAAAGAAATGTCCCATCACAGCCACATTGAACTGCAACAATAACCAGGGCCTTGGGAACATCCACCTGCAAGAAAAAAACAAATCAGAAAAAGAAATCCCAAATATATAATTTGTATTAGAAAAAAAGCTGTCAAATTCTTTCAAAAGAGATATGCTGCATTTAGCAGAGTGACTATAGGAAAGCGAGGACCACTCTATTCTTTGCAGATTTGTCCTGTGTCTTAGAGACTACGAAGTATTTTCTTTTATTTTTCATGAAGAGTTGTGTTTATTTCAACAATAAATTTGAAACTCTTGCCTTAAGCAAGAGTACTGCAGTAATTATATCAGGATTAGACAATAGAAAATTTCCTATACTGTCAAATATACAAAAGTTCCTTTTGCACTTTCTTTTTCTCTTTGCAGATTCAGCCCATATTTGCTTTGATCTATCTACTGAGTTAACCCAAGCTTCTTCTTCAGAGACTCTGGCATTTCGGGTGGAGGAGGGCAAGGGAGCCTGAAGTAGACCTTCACGGAGACAGATAAACCACTGTAGTACAGTCAGGGTACCAATCATGATGATACGGGCAAACAGTCCCTTCCATACACCTTTAAATCCAAGTCTCTGGAGGATCTGAGAAGCACTGCTACCTTTTTCTTTATTCAACACAGATACCACAGAATCAGCAGGGTGAGAAACAACTGCACAAAAGACTCCAGCTATGTAACCTGCTACAAATGTTACAACCGGCTGCTCTGGCTTTGAACATTCACTGCAGGACTTAGGAACCACAAACTTGTACAGTGCTTCAACAGTACTTTCAAAGCAGGTGAACTTCATCATGGTGTATGGTAACTGCCTCATTCAGAGAGGAGCATCCCCCTTGTAGAATGCTTTTAGGCCTTCTTCCTTATACATTTTGGGAGCTGCATCCCTCAAAGTGTTGGCATAAACTGGCTGGGGTTGAATTTGAACCTTAGCAGCTTCCATAGGAGCCAGGGCAATGTCAGCAAAGAATTCAGCACTGGCAGAGGCAGCCAAATATAGTGCACCAGAGACAAGTATTCTCCTCTCCATGCATGTTGCTATAGAAGACTTTTAAGACTGCATAAAAGCTAAACTCGCAGAGCGGCTGCATGGAGTAGCCAATGAAAGTCAGAGCCCATCCTTTAGCCACACCATGAACACTATCCTCTTTAAGTTTAACTAAGAATCTGTTAAATATGCCCTTGTACTTTTGGGGGTCCACCTGCATAGAGCATTTCACTAAATCCAGGGGAACGACAGCAGTGTGTGCCGCAACTTAAGACCCTACCAAAGCTACACAGTGGATAGTACTTCAGGAGCCAAATTCACAACTGTACTCTTCCACGACGGTGGCTGCCAGGTTGCAAGGGCGGCGGGGCTGGCCTGTGGGTCTGGGAGGGCTGCTGCAGAGGCCATCATACACCAGCTGCAGATGAGGCGCGTTGAAGGGGTTCACCCATGCCAGGTGCGCCACAGACAAGAACGAGAACATCTTTTCCCTAAGATGGCGATCACCCAACCACTCCGTTGGAAAGGTTGTGGCTCACAGTCCTCTTAGTTTTTTTTTTGAGACAGAGTTTCCCTATTTCACCCAGGTGGAAGTGGCGTGATCTCACCTCACTGCAACCTCCACCTCCTGAACTTCTGAACGTAAGTGATCTGCCCACCTCGGCCTCCCAAAGTGCTGGGATTACAGGCGTGAGCCATTGTGCCCAGCCAAGGCTACTATTTTCAACAAAGAGTTCAAGTTTTACAATATCAAGGAAAAGGTGACAGTTCCAGGTCAACTAAACAAGACAGTCCCTTCTCAGTTTATCTTAGCAAGAGGTCCTACTTCGGGTGACCTGTCAAAAAGTTGAGAAAGAAGCTTCAATTCAATTGCTTGAATTGCAAAGTTGACAAATTGCTAACTTTGTCTTTTAAGATGGAAGGCTGCTTGACAGTTACAGAAACTCAATAGCACTGTGGGGTCCCAATCTGGTCATTTTATAGGAGAGGTGACAGAGTACTGAGGTAATATCTAGAACTTCCAAATGCTTGTATCCTTTTACGACCAACTAGACAAGGCTGGAGAATGGTGGGGTGATGCACGTGTTGGGCCACAATGGATGTGTGTAAAACCTGAAACCTCAACCTTCACAGTTTCTGCCACAGCCTTTCCAGGAGAAAAGGAACAGTGGGGAATCCCACTGAGGATGGTGCCCACAAATGCATAATTTAATTTTTAAAATGTAAATAAAAACTGGTTTGTCTAAAAGTTCCCAAGGAAAGAAAAAAGAAAAAAACAAACGAAAACACTGGTAACCGTAAATGGTATAGCTGATTTAGCCAACTCTCCAATGGGTAAGCCTGTGCCCTGTGGAAGCTTGGAGAGATGTGACTGTGCTTTTCCTTTCCCCCAGCTGGTGTCAGCCTCTGTGAGCCTATCACAGGGCCAGCTCTGGTAAGGCTGAGAGTAATTAGATCGTATGTTTCATACAACATGACCACCAAACAAAAACAACTATTAATATTTTATCTGGTGATCAACTGTAGAAGCATGAGAGGAAAATGGCTGAGTTGGGTTGAGAGACAGTATGCTGCTTTACAGTAGCTTCTCGAGTTTTCCAGTGTATATGCAGCTATATATGACTTTTCTGCTGTACATGTTGATTTTAGCTGTCATCCCTGAGTAAGATGTGACTTCACATGTCCACAGCTGCTGTATCCACTTTCTCAGTTTTCTACAATTTAGTCAGATGACAAGACCACAGGATGCTAAATCAGAAATCCTAGATTGTCAGTCTCCCACACAGGAAACATTTCGGAAATAAACACCCTGACACAACAGAGCCAACGAAAGGGCACACGTTATCGGAGTCTGTGCGACTTAGCTAGGTATCAGAAAGAAGCTGCTTCTGATTTTACCTTTTGTGGTGTACAATAATCCTCTTCAGAATCCAAACCCAGTCGTCCTGAAACACACATAAGAATGAAAATCATTATAATGAGGGCTTCCTTCCTAGTGCAGAGGTTCTATAAGATTCTCTTTTACTGAATTAACACTTCTCATTTAGGGGCTGCATGATGTATTTAGATGCATACAAGTTTGAAGTCAGGTTGTATACTGGCAAAGAAGTGGACAGAGACAAGGCTACCCCTACCATATTCGCCACAGCCCCAAGAATAGACTTCCTTGTTTCGTGTCAGAACCACCACATGATTATCTCCACAGGAGACCTGCTCCACTGGATTGCTGAGGAAGAAGTTCAGCTGCATGGGTTCTAGCACTTCAGGGCCAGCAACTTTGTCCACCCCCATGCAGCCATAATAATCTGATCCGAAGGCATAAAGCTGACCCTCATCTGCAAAAGAAAGAAAAACAGAACTCATTATATGTAATCAGAAAGTTGGACAGGGCTGGAATGAGGACTACCCCAGCAAATGATCTCACATGAAATGATTATATCTGAGAAATTAAAAGGATAGACTGTGCAGGTCTAGAGTTGTTTCCATTTTAGAGAGTTTTGTGTACTACTACTACTAAACAATTTAAAAAGTGGTAGCATTATCACGTTAAAAGGATTTAATGGGGCCATCTTTATTATGTAGATAAAAATATAAGTACCAAGGAATCCAAAAGTAAGTAATGACAAGACCAAAACTAAAGTTAGGCCTTGATGCTAATTTTGTGTTATCCATAGCCTGATGAGGTGGTAAGATTATTCTTCCTGCCAACTGGGACACACATTTTCTCCTGATCCCACCTCTTCTCTGTTACCCAACTGTCTTTTCTTTGCTCACCACCCCTTAATACTATAGCAAATTTGGCATGTTATTATTAATGAGTGTATTTGCTCAATGTCCTCTGGTTCTTTGAATACTGTCTTTTGCTGTAAAATCCCAGTGAAAATGGCACAGCATTAAGCAAATATCCCACATTAAATGCACTTAAGACACTTTCTGCTGATGGCTTACCAGTCACACAGACAGTGAAATCATCACCACATGACACCTGATGGATAGCTTTGCCTTGCAACTTTTCCACATGCTTTGGCTGTCGATAGGAGGCTTTATCTCCATGGCCCAGCTGACCATGGAGCTTAGTACCTCCTTGCATATTCTGTGAAATAAAGAGGTTTCATGAAGTTTTTTTTTAAAATTACATTTTATTAAACTTAAATTTTAAAAAGACATGGGGTCTTGCTATGGTGCCCACACTAGTCTTGAACTCCTGGTCTCAAGTGATCCTTCTGTGTCAGCCTCCCAAAGTGCTGGGATTATAGGCATGAGCCACCATGCCCGGCCAAGAGGTCTTATAAAGTTTTAATTTTCCATGACAAAAGCTAATTTTCAATATAACTTGATAAGAAGAAAAACAGTACAAAAAAGAGCTAGAAATTTAGAAATTAGAAAAAAATGGGCAAAGGGATTAACATTTTAGTAGTAGGTAGTATAAAGACCCTGCCAACAGGTAAAGAAACTTAAAAAGTATCCAGATTAATATTCATTAATCTAATCTTTATTCTTCAAGTCTAAGGTGATGGTGAAAAAAATTTTTTATAATATAGTCTAATTTGGTTGCTTTCTATAGGAGTATAGCTTCTTGGAAATCAAGTTTTATAAATTTTAGTCAGTTTCCCTGAAGCATGAACAGTTATAAAGAATCTGGCTACATCAAAGAGGCTGCTATACAGCAATGAGATTAGTTCTTGATGGTTTGCAACAGTTTTATAGAGAGAAATAATTATTTCTATTAAATGACTAAACTACAGGTCCTCATATATATATATAAATGTAATTTTTTTTTTTTTTTGAGACAGGGTCTTGCTCTGTTGCCCAGGCTGGAGTGCAGTGGTACAATCTTGGTTCACTGTAACCTCCACCTCCCAGGCTCAAGTGGTTCTCATACCTCAGCCTCCCGAGTAGCTGGGATCACAAGCATATGCCATTACTCTCAGCTAACTTTTGTATTTTTGGTAGAGATGGGGTTTTGCCATGCTTGCCAGGCTGGTCTCAAACTCCTGGACTCAAACAATCCACTCCGGCCTCCCGAAGTGCTGAGACTTAAGGTATGAGGCCAATATGGCACCTGGCCAATAAATGTTTAAGACACTAATTGCTCTCCAGCAGCCTGAAATGAGCCTGAGAAGGCACAGCAAGAGACAAGAGGAAAGCCAAGAGAACATGCTATCACAGAAGGCAAGTGAAGACAAAGCTTCAAAAGGAGGGAGTGGTCAACTACGTCAAATGCTGCCAAGAAATCAAGCTAGGTAAGGACTAAAAAGCATCTGTTTTATTTGAGCAATTTATGGGTCATTTTGTCAAGACCGGTTTCAATTGAGTGGCAGAGATGGAAGCTGCATTTTAGGTGAAAGAGGAGAGAGTGGGAGATAAGGAAACAGACAGTAAACAGACAATTTGTTAAAGAAGGTGAGGGGGAGAATCTAGAGGCAACAAATAAATTCTACACAAAATAAACGTAGCTATCTTCATGCTATCAACCCACAGCAGTGGGTTTCAGGGGTTTCCTGACATGGTATGGTGGTTCCTCTGTTTACAGAGATATTTCATAGATAACAGTTGCTCTGAACTTCACAGCAATATAACAGAGTAATTGAGTGACTTGTCTGAAACCATCCAGCTATAAATGGAAAGCCCAGTCTCCTGAGTCTTACAATTTTCTCTCCCTCTCTGATTCATTCATTCAAAAAACATTTATAAGTGACCTAATATGTACCAGGCCCTGGGCATACATCAGCGAACTGAACAGACAAAATCCCTGCTCTCATAAGAGCTTCCATTCCATCAACCTGTGTTGCTACTTCCTTAGTATGGGTTCAACTAATGAAATGCTTAGACATCCTGGGCCCAGTAAACAATTAGGCTTATAGCACCATTCCAAAATGCTTAGCTTTCACTTACCACCCAAGTGTACAGTTCCTTCTCCACTGTGACCACAG